GGATGATGTTGATTGTTTTTCTAATGTTGAACCATCCCTGCATACCTGGTATGAACCCCACTTGGTCATGATGAATGATTTTCTTGATATGTTGTTGAAGTTTGTTGGCTAGGATTTTGTTGAAGATTTTGCATCTATATTCATGAGGGATATTGGTCTGTAGTTTTCCTTTTGAGTGATGTCTTTTCTGGTTTTGATATTAAGGTTATGCTTGCTTCATAAAATGTGTTAGGGAGGATTCCATCCTTTTTTAGCACATGTATCTTTTAGTTGTTACTGGGGCTGTTACAAAATTGTATACATTACAGCATTTACCAAAAATGTCTCTTATTCTTGTGTATTTATTAGTGTCATCATTTACATTGGTCAGGTTATGCAGACTTTATCCCCATTAGTATTGCCTTTCCCATCACTGAAAATGACAACTGTACACTGTCTAGAAAGTGATTGTATCTCCCTTCCACACCTCCCCGAGTAACCACCAAAGAACACTGTTTTCTGTATGTATACCTGTTCTCATCTTTTTATAGAAAGTGGGATAGTATTTGTCTTTTTGTGATTGACTTGCTTCATTTGGCATAACTTCCTCCACATTCATCCATATTATGTTTCGGAAACTCATTGTTATCTGTAGCTGTGTAGGAGCTCTGGTGGTGTAGTGCCTAAGGCATTTGACCACTAACCAGAAGGCTGGCAGTTCAAACCCACCAGCCACTCTTCAGAAAGAAAGATTGGGCAATCTACTTCCGTAGTGATACCGCCTCGGAAACCCAAGAAGGGGTCGCTATAAGTCGGATCCAACTTGACAGCAGTGAGTTTGGTTTGGTTTTGGTAGTATTCCATTTTATTTATGTACCACAGTTAGTCATCCATTTATTCATTGATGGGCAATTAGGTTGTTCCCATCTTTTTGCTATTGTGAATAGTGCTGCAGTGAGCATAGGTGTGGTTATGTTTATTTGTGTCACTGCTGTTAGATCTCTAGGGTTTATACCTGGGAGTGGGATTGCTGGATCATACTCATTGCCATCAAGTCATATCTGACTCATAGCAACCCCTCCTAGGATTTCCGAGGCAGTATCTACTACAGAAGTACAGAAGTAGATTGTCCAGTCTTCCTTCCGGGGAATGTCTGGTGGATTTGAACCACCAGCCTTCTGGTTAGCAGTCTGGATTTGTGCTTTTGGAGCACAAGATACCCATATTTCTAGCTTTGAGGATGTGCCATTCTGCTTCCTATAGTGGTTGTGCCCTTTTATGATCTCACCAGCTAGGGGACAGGTTCCAATCTCCTCACAGCTTCACTAGCATTTATTGTTTTTGTTTTGTTGAACAATGCCATTTTTGCAGGGGTGAGATGTTATTACATTGTGGTTTTGATTTACTCTCTTATGGCTATCTTTTCATCTGGTTGTTGGCTGCTTGATTGTCCTGTTTGGTGAAGTGTCTGTTTATGTCCTTTGCCCATTTTTTATTTGGATTGTTTGACTTTTTGTTGTTGAGCTGTGGGAACTTTCTATATATTTTAGGGAATAGATCCTTATCAGATATGTCATTCCCAAAGAGTTTCCTAGTCTGAAGGATCTCTTACTACTCTTTTAGTAAAGTCTTTTAATGAGCCATAAATAATTTCGTTTTTAGAAGACCCCAGCTATCTAATTGGTTTTCTGTTGATGGTGGATTTGTAGTTGTATTTAAAAATCTTTTCCTAAAAAAATTTAGGTTCCATAGTTTTGTCCCTATGTTATCTTCCAGGAACTTTTTATTTTTAGTTTTAAAATGTTTAGGTCTTTGGTCCATTTTAAGTTAGTTTTTGTTTTTGGTGTGAATTATGGATCCTGTTTCATTTTTCTGCAAATGGATATCCAGTTTTGCCAGAATCATTTGTTAAAGAGACTGTTTATTCCTTATTAAATGGAAACCCTTGTCAAAAATCAGATGCCCATAGATGGATGGATTTCCTTCTGGGATCTCAATTCTATTCCAGTGGTGTCTGTGGCTGTCATTGAACCACTACCAGCCGGTTTTGATGATTGTGGCTATAATAGTATGTTTTCAGATCAGGAAGGATGAGGCCTCCTACTTTGTTGTTCTTCAATATTGTTTTGGCTATTCAGGGTCTTTTTCCCTTTCTGTGAATTTGTTTTTATTTCGTTTGCATTGGGGTGGAGCCTTTGGAGGAAAGGAAGGGAGCTGAGAGCTTAGCAACTTGTTTGTTTTTTGTTTCGTTTTCACTGGATGTATTAAGACATTTTTGTAATTTCAAGTTTATAAAAGAATCAACTATAGACATAATACTTTGTTCTCAATTTATTGGTTGATGTACTGAATTTTACTGGCATCTTAAAGTTGAATTATTTTCGTAAATGTAAAGAAACATAGTATTTGGTGCATAGCAGTTAACTGAGAAGTTTGCTCTATATAGTATAAATATGTGAGATTTTTGGTGCTCACTATGGTTGAATACTATGCCAGAGTTATTTTGAAAGTTTCTAATACAATACTTACTGTTTTTCCCTAGAATTTATTGTTTTTGGATAGACTTATTTATGTTATTACTGTAATGATTGATTGCATCGACTTTTCACCATATAATATTAAACATCAGCCTAAAGTTAAATGTAAGTATTTTTTACCTTCGTTTATTCATCCCAGATTTCATGAGCATAACTGAACAGTTGTTCTTTTGGCTTTTCCTGTCTCGTTTCGGTTACATTTTGTCTTTGTGAATTGTGTTGATTTACTATGCTAGTTCTCAGTGTGCGTATTGTGTGTGCATACACACACATACACAGAGTCTTCTAATAAAACAAGTGATTTCCTAATGATACAAGTTATTTTACTTAGGTTTAGGTTGAGTCTTTTTTGCCCAAGAATATATGTCTAGTAAGTCTCAGAGCTACTATTTGAAATTGCATTCAGGAAAAAAATCTTTGAGGGCTATTTTATTAAAGTACCGACATCTTCAGGATTCTATCCATATCAGATAGCATGGCTCTAACATATAGCAGGGAATTTTTTTTTCTTTTTAATTTTTATTTGTGATTTGGGTGAAAGTTTTCAAAGCAAATTCATTTTCCATGTAGCAATTCGTACACATTTTGTTTCATGACATTGACTGCCATTCCCCACACAGTAACAGCTTTCTTCCCACTTCCTCTCTGTAGTTACCTCTTCCCTATGTCCTTCCCTCCCATACACTACCACCCCCCTGAGCTCCCTCCCGGTGCCGGCACTGCCCTTCTGTTCTCCCATGATGGATCGCTGCAAGAAGTGTATCTACCTGATATAAATGTTCACCCCATATGGCTATCCATTGTTTGGCTGGAAGCCACATGAATGAATTCAGTTCCAGACCTGAAAGTACAAATTTAAATTGCTTAAAAATAAAAAGTTGTGCCCCTGTTGGATAAGTCTGAGGTACTGTGGTGAAATGGAAAGAGCATTGGCCTAGGAGAATTGAGCCCTAGATTCTACTGTTGATGTATTATTTTGAGCAAGCCACTTAACTTCCTTAGTCTTCATTTCCTCTTTCTGTGTTTATGCCTCCCTTCTTAAACCATAAGGAACTTGGTTCCCATTGCTCTTAATACAGTTTTTGACTAGTACCTTGTTTGTAACTATCTCCTGGCACCTGGCTGTCTCCTCAGTCTCGGCATCCGGGCCAAGAGTGTAGTAGTAGTTAGCTGTTGTTGAGTTGGTCCCTGACTTATGGCCATCTCACATGCAAGAGAACAGAGTGCTGCCAAGTCCTGCAAGATCCCCATGATTGGTTGTCAGTCATATTGTCATGATCCATCGGGCTTTCATTGGCTAATGTTTGAGAAGTTGGTCACCAGCCTTTTATCCCTAGTGCATCTTAGTCTGTAGAAGGTCCACAAAAGCCACTTAGCACCATAGCATGCAAATTTCGGCTGACAGTTTGGTATATTGGTTGTGTGTGAGGTGCATTGGTCAGGAATTAAATCCAGGTTTCCTGTGTAGAAGACAGAAATTCTGCCACCGAAGCACCAGTGCTTTTGCCAAAAATTACTGGGTAACTTTTCCAGGTTACTCCAAAACTGATAGTTGATTTCTTTTTAGTAGCAGCCGTTGGGGATTTTTGTTGTTGTTTTCATTTATTCACATAGCAGTAATTTTTAATTAACAAGTACTAAATAAGAGTTTTTTCTTAAGTCCAAGAGTTCTTACCTTAAAGCAATGAATTGTTTTGAAGGAAAGGCAAAGATAATTTGAAAAAGGTGTAATTTTCTTAGCAAGACTAATGTGGGTGTACATCAGCCATAGGTAGGTATCTGGAGAAAGATGGGGTCTAAAAAGGTACAAAGGAAAGTGGAAGAGTGCTTTTAAGAGATTGTTTTGTTTTGTTTAGGAAATATAGGTAGCAGGCTTCTTTTTCTGCCTTTTTCCCCCCTAGTATTTGGATCTTTGACGTATTACTTTTTTTATGTATAGGATTCATTGCATTATAGATGAGCCAGGAAATAATTATTTCTAATGGAAATGGTTACTTTTAAAAATTGTCTTTTATTTTTAAAAACAAAGGGGACCAGGTTTGCTGGTCTGATAGAGCCTGGTGGAACCACTGAGACTATGGCCCTTAACTGCCCTTCAGGTCTGGAATTGAACCCCCCACCTGTGGCTTCCAGCCAAACAAAAGACAGGCATATGAGTTGAACATTTATCCAAAGTAGATAAACTCCTTGGAGAGAACAATCATGGGAGAAAGAAGCGCTGTTTATGCACAGGGAGACAGCTCAGGGGGCAGGAGTGCATGGAGGGACAGACACAGGGAAGAGGTAACTATCAGGAGGAGGGGAGCTGTTGCATTGGGGTAAATTGTAGTCAGTGTCATGAGACAAAGTGTATGTGAACTGCTGTATGGAAAATGAATTTGCTCTGTAAACTTTCACCCAAATCACAATTTTAAAAAAAAATTTTGACTTTTATTTTTAGAACCTGTTTTACAATGTAGTACTATTCTATATTTGTTAAAATTCTGAGTAAGTAAAAAAAAATATGAAATGCATTTTATAATTTATTTAGAGAATTCATTTTTTGGATTCTTATTCTAAATCTAGCAAATAATTTTTCTGTTTCTGGTTGTCATTCTTCAAATAATGTTCTAGTGATGATTACATATTAATGGTAAATAATTTTAAGGTTTATTTTTGGATGTCACTACGAAAATACATGTATTAGACTATGTAGGTGTCATTTAAATGTCAGATATAAATTCTGAAGGTGGGCAGTGACAATGTTCTCTACTTGAGGTTTTAATCAATTGAATTTTATCTTAGCACCTCAGACATCTTCAGATTGGTCCAAAAAGAAGAAGGAGCCCCTGGGGAAGTTGGCTTCTTTATTTAAGCTTATTGTGAAAGTGATATTCTCTTTCCACGCTCTGAGCCTCAAGGAGGTACATTCTGATACTCTCCTTGCTGTTGGCCAGTCAATCATCAGTATTCTTTCCAACGTACTTGGACACATTTCTTTACCTTCTATGATCCGAAAAATATTTGCAACTTTGACAAGACCTATGGCATTATTATATGAAAACACAAAGTAAGTATTTAAAACTTTTGTAATAAATGTATACATTTTACAACTAGATTGTGGGTTCCTTACAACAGCTTTGTTATTCTGTAGATGGGTAATCTCTACAATTTAATATAGAGTATTTAGTGTGTGTGTATGTTAGATATTAAACTATGCTTCTGTAAAAAAGATAATTGAAATAGTACAGAATTATGAGGTAGAAATTGAAAAGCTCTTTTATTTTGCATGCTTATGTGTCATTTTTTTAATTTAGTACATATCTTCTCAGTATTGCTTATGTAAACAAGTATACCTGTTAAATGTATGCCATGTGAAAGTATACTTGACAAGCAGTTCTGCAGTTAATTATATGGTATTATGCACTTACTATATTGTATGAGTCTTTTACCATTCTTTTATGAGATAAGAATCTCACTCTTTTAAGTGTCTGCATCTTGTTGTCACTGTGTTAGTGTTTCTAGAGCTCCTGTAGTTCACTTATAAGAGTTTATCTTTTATAAATGAACTTACAGACCGTCTTAGGCAAAGATTTTATAAACCAAAAAATACGACTCCAAATTCCATTAACTTCTTTTTTTAAAAAAAAAAACTTTATTGTGATTTTGGTGACAGTTAACAGAACAAATTAGTTTTCTGATCAACAGTTTGTACACATTTTCTTTTGTGACATTGTTTGCAATTCCATTAACTTTTTGCAAATCTTTTTAATCCTTATTTCATCAAAATTAACTGATACTTTTAAAGAAAAATTAGGGGCAAGTAATTAGTAATTTGAGGTCTGTTTCTAATGGTTTTCTATGATTAATTTTTTTTAATGCATTTTATTGCAATATAATTTATGTACAGTGAAATACACAAAACTAAAGTGACATGGGTCAATGCATTGTGTTGTTTTTTTTTTAAGTGTTCCCACCCGGCCCCTCCCACCCCTAGCAACCAACAAAGAAAGTTTCCCTCCATGTATAAACCTTTCCTTGACCCGCCACAACAACGAACTAATACTATATTTGTTCTGATGTGATTGACTTATTTTACTCAGTGTAATGTTCTCCAAGTTCATCCGTATTATGTGGTGTTTTGCAGACTCTACATTATTCTTTAGTGTTGCATAGCATTCCAGTATGTGTATGTACCATAGTTTGGTCATCCACTCTTCCACTAATGGGCCTGGAGCTTGTTTCCATCTTTTTGCTGTTGTAAATAGTGCTGTGATGAAGATAAGTGTGCATGTATCTGTTCCTATCCTGGTTCTCACCTCTCTAGGATATATATCTAGTACTGGAATTGCTGGGTCAAATGGTATCTCCAATTCCACCGTTCTAAGAAATCACTATATTGTTTTCCACGGTGGTTGTGTCACTTCATCGTCAGTCACACAAGCAGTGTATGGGAGTCCCCATCTCTCCACATCCCCACCAGCATTTGTTATTTTCTGTGTCATTGAACCTTGCCATCAGTGCTGGGGTGAAATGGTTTATCTCATTGTTTTGATTTACATATCTCTGGTGGCCAATGATTGTGAGCATCTTTTCATGTATTAGCTGACCACCTGAGTATCCTTCTTGATGAAGTGTCTCTTCATGTCTTCTGCCCATTTTTCAATTGGATTGTTAATTCCTTTGGTGTTGAGGCGTTGGAGTTTTCCACCAATCTTAGAGATAAGTCCCTTGCCACTTAAGTAATTATCAGCAAATATGAATTTGTTGTTGTCATTTTTGTCATGTGCTTTTTCATTATGTTGGTTTCTTTGTTCCATATAATTTTCTATGCTGAGCTCGTTTTGTTTATGAATCATGTTACCACTTCCTTCATTGCTATTGTTTTAGTATTTGCTGAATATTTGTGCCGGTGCTCTTTTTGTTTTGATGTGAAGGTTTATCATTTTTCTTTGAGGTTACCCTGTGATTTATAATTTTCTTCCCAAGTTTAGAACAGTCTGTTCTATCTTGACTTTCCTACCATCTAGAAGTTCTGTAATGACCCAGATTTTTTTCCCACTGTTTGGTTTATAGTTGTCCTCATTTGTCGGTTGGTGTCTGGTTCACTGCCTACAATCCTGTAGACCCATTCACTCTGGATACTTCCATAGCTGGGTTGGTTTCTGGGTTATATCATCATGTGTGTTAATGGTCAGTTGTTGTTGGCTGCTGTTGTTTCTCTGTCCAAAGGGCTCCCTTTAGCATCTTTTGTAAGGTTGGTCTGGTTTTAACAAATTCCCTTAGTTTCTGCTTATCTGGAAATCTCCTAATTTCACCATCATATTTGAGGGACAGTTTTGCTGGGTACATAATTCTTGGTTGGAAATTTTTCTCTTTCAGGGTTTTATATATACCATCCCATTGTTTTCTCACCTGCATCGTTTTTGCTGAGAAATCCGAGCTTAGTCTTAATGGTTGCCCCTTGTAGGTAACTTTTCGATTTTCCCGTGCTGCTGTCATGATTCTTTGTCTTTGCTTTTGGTGAGTTTGATGATGATATGTCTTGGTGTTTTTCTTTTGTGGTCTATCCTGTTTGGGGTTTGTTGGGACTTCCTGAATGGATATATTCTCATCTTTCTTCATATTCGGGAAGTAAGTTCTCCTCCGACAAATCTTGGACAATTTTCTCAGTGGTTTCATTTTTCTCTTCCTGTCCTGGAATTCCAGTGACACATAGGTTATTCATTTTAATGGTATCCCATATGAACCTTAGGCTTTCTTCATTTTGTTTTGATCTTTTTTCTGTTTGATCCCTTTCCAAAGAAGTATTCATGTATCTGTCTTCAGTCTCATTAATTCTTCCATCACATCTATTCTACTCCTTTGCTCTTTCAATGTGTTACCTATTTCTGACACTGTAGTATTAGTCTTCTGGATTTCTATCTATAGATTTAGAATCTTTCTAATTTCTCATTTATTTTGTCATTTTGTTCTTGTATTTTCTTGCAAAATTCATGTAGGGTTTTGCCTGTGTTTTCCTTGATCTGTCTTTCAATCCTTTGAGGATACCTAAATACAATTCTTTTGAATTCCTTGTCAGGGAGTTCCAATGCTGTGTCTTCATCAGGGATGTGTTTTGGGTCTGTATCCTGGTCCCTTGTTTCTCCTGCTTTATCTTGTTTCTTTGTGTGTAATGTGATACTCTGTTGTCTCCAAGGCATTGTGATTTTTTTGTGTTTATATTTAATTGGTGATTAAATGTTAGAATGACTTGCCCACAATTTTCATTTTGTTTGTATGATATCTATACAAGCAGGGTACTGTGCTATGCTCCTGTATTCACCAGTTGACAGCACTTACACACTCACCACCTACTACTTTGCTTTGTCAGCCCCTCTCGTATGTCCTTGCTGACCCTGGCAAACAGAGCCTGTTTTTAGGTCCCTGGAATCCGAATGAGAATGCTATTTTAAAATTCAAAATTGTTGACACTTAAAAACATCCAAAATGGCAGCCACGTGTAAACAATCAAAATGGCTGCACCCTCCAGACAGCAGAAAGTCCACAGCTTAGGTTGTCTCCCTCCTTGCTGTTTCCTTTCGTAGTCATAGGGCACCAGAGCAGTTGTCACTACAGCCCTTGGTGACCAGGACTGAACTTCAGGTCAATTCTCAGGTCCCAACACCACTTGGAAATATTCAGGTTATTGGTCTCGTCAGAGTAGCTGACAGTCCGCAGCTCCAACCGTCTCTGTACTCACTGTTGTTGTTCAGGTTTTTCCACTTTTGTTGTTGTTGTTATTTGCCATCGAGTCAGCCCTGACTCATAGTGACCCCTCCTTGGGTTTCTGAGGCAGTATCACTACGGAAGTAGGAATGCCCAACCTTCCTTCCGAGGAGTATTTCCACTAGTTGATGCCTAATCCACTTCTGTATAGTTCCTTTCAAAGCTTAGAGTTCCAGGATTATCTTCTGCATCTCTGTCAATTGGTTTTCCTTTTCTTTGTTGAAGGAGGTCTGTGTAATTTTCTTCCTATTCTTCCATCTTACTGGAAGTGATTTATTTTTTAAAAGATGGGTTTTTTCCATGCATTATTTGTAATGGTTTTATTTTTTCACTAATTAAATCTTATGGCATTTCTTCATGCACTATATGTATGCTTGTTTTTATGGATGTAGTACTGTATTTTTAGGTTTAGCTTAATAGAGGTAGAGTAATGTTAATTTTCTAAAATACAAATTGTACTGCATTTTTTGTGTTCTTATCCCCCCAGGCCTGATGAAGTCCCTAAAGTGTATAGTTGTCTGAACAACAAGGTAAAAAAGACTATTGTCCATAAAACTTAACTTTAAAAAAAAAAAAAAAAAAAGTAGGGTTTAGATAAATGTCTTCCTTAAACATAATCCTATTTGAGCATAATACTTCATTTTTAATGGGAATATGACGTGGGCACATCAAAGGATAGTTTTTAAAGAGGATTTATTGGAGTGCTTTAACTTCATATAACTCATTAACCCCATCTCATCCCTTAAGGTACAAGGTTGATTGGTTCCACAGTTTTCTGGGTGAAACTTGTGTAAGCAGCTATTAATTCTTATTATAATTAATATAAAAACTTAATTTTTTTTCTTATCATGGGAAAATAAGCTCTTAATCAGCTGTCATACCAGCAATCAAAGTAAGTTTACCCAGTAATTTGTCACCTTTTAAAGAGGGATGCATATGTAAAGGGTGAATAGTGGCTTTCTTAAAATCCTTTGAATTAAAAAAAAAAAAAAATGTCGTTAAGTTCTATGGGTTGGTGTTTATAGTGTGTTTTGTGCTTTTAGTTTTTTCTATTTTAAAAGTAATGATCCAAATGTTGCCCTAACAAACTTTTCCTTTTTCCTAGTTAGAAAAGCTGCTAGGAGAAATTATTGCTTGTCTGCAGTCCAGTTACACTGGGACTTATGACAGTGAACTTCTTGAACAGCTCTCCCCATTATTATGTGTAATATTTCTGCACAAGAACAAACAGATTCGAAAACAGAGTGCTCACTTCTGGAATTCCACATTTGCTAAAGTGTCGATGTTGATTTATCCGGAAGAGTTAAAGTATGCTAACAACAAAACTCTTATAAAGCTATTCTGTTGTGATAATGTAAATTGTGTTTTGATCTTAATGAACTGTTCATATGGGGAATTATTACAGAGGATTTCTTAAAGTATTATTTGACATGTATCATAATTAAACATTACTTGACTTTTTTGCTTAGAGTAACCTTGCTTTTAGGAACAACAAAAAAAGGCAATTTAAAATTATCCATTATTCCTAATAGGTGAACGAGGAAGAGCTGGGAATTGATGCTTAATGTAGTGATTCTACTTTTATTTGGAATTTGTCATTATAAAAGATTAGGAAATTCTGAGAAATTTGGAGAAAAATTCTAATGTCTATAATTTCTTTAAGGAACATGTGATTTAGCTACTTTTAAATTAAAATAGTTACTTTTTATGATCAGTACTGTTTGTCTGAAATGTGTGTGTGTGTATATATATATTTATGTTTTTTTATGATCAGTACTATTTGAAATATGTGTATGTGTACATATATTTCCTTTTTTAAAGATCGGTACTAAGACAAGCTAAACAAAAATTACTGCTTCTGTTGCCTGGTTTGGAAAACGTTGAAACTATGGAGGAATCCAGTGAACCATATTCAGATGCAGTAAGTTTATTTGTTTTTTTAACTTTTAAATGATGTTGGAGTAGTTTGTTAATTAGGTCTCATTATAATTTTTGAAAGGACAAAAATTTAAATTGAATGATCAGCTTGGATTGAGTGTACTAATGAAGTGATGAACAAGTAAATCATGAACAGAAGATCTTTGTAACACAGGATTTTCCTATATACGCCTGATCTGGACTGAAAGACTTTTATAAATTAATGGTAGTAATTTTCACCAGAAACTCATGTAAATAATGTATGATTTGTATTCATTAATAATATTTATTGAACTAAGGTACCTCGTATGCTGTTTTGCAAAGGCTGTAATTGTTGAAATACACAGTTAAATGTTAGGTAAGCTAGAGATAATATTTATTAGTCCCTCTCTAAGCAAGATTTACCCTCAATTTCTCATTTTTTGCCATCAAATTTGTCATTCCTTCTCTCAGAAAAACTCTATGCTATCATACCACCCATTAGGACAATGGTAACTTTGGCTAATAATATTTAATATGCAAAGACTTAGAAATTTGAAGGAGTGAAGGTATGATTACTGTATATCCATGAAGTAGAGCATCCTTAAAAAACTTCTTTGTATTCAGTAATAGGTAGGGTATAGCTATTTGCTGTTTAGAACTTGTAAAGAATAAAAGTAAGAGCTAACTACTATAGTTTGGTATTAAAATTTTCTTTGGCTAACCTTTTAGACTCAAATGTAATTTGGCCTATAAAAGTCATATATTCCTATTATGAGGGAAAATGTGGTTGTATGTCAGTATTCTATCATTAATGCTTTTTAAATTTATTATTTTCAGTTAGAAGTTTTAACTTATGTCTTTGATTATCTCTTAGAAATATTTCCAGCAAAACATACTTGCTATTGTTGAATTGGATGGCCTGTCTTTGTTTGACATATATTTAATAGGCTTGAATAATCGGAAGAACTTTGGCATGATTTGAAATGTGTATTCATTTTACTAGAATTAATTTTTAAAACATGAGAAACCAGAGATGGAAAAACAGTTGTACTTTACTAAAATTGTTTTTATTTTTTAAAAAAACAGACAGAAAATTCACAGTTAAATGTGAAGATAAGTGGCATGGAAATAAAATCAAGTGGAAAAAGAGATTCCCTTTTGGCACAGAAAAAGGATACAAAAGAAAATATGAAACCACCAGCCAAAGTATGTTTTTCCAGTGTGCATTTATTGCACACTTTTTTTTTCAAGTATTAAAAAATTTATTTAAGAGCATACAGCTTTCAGTTGGAAGGAAAAAAATGTAAAAGTATCTACATAAAACATGTATTTTAACCTCAGTCTAAAACTAAGTGTCTTGCTAGTTGTTAGTTAACCTGTTTTCAAACAAGTGTTGATGTTAATTGCCATCAAGTTTTCTCTGGCTCATGGCAACTCCGTGTGTAACAGAAGAAAATGTTGCCTAGTCCTGCACCATTTTCTTCATCATTGTTACATTTGAGTCCATTGATGAAGCCACTGTATGTTTTTAATGCCTTCCATCCTAAGAGGCTTATCAGACAATAGTCTGTCGTGATCTATAGGGTTTTCAAAAGTTGGCTAATTTTTGAAAGATCACCAAGCCTTTTTTTTTTTGCTAGTCTAAGTCTGAAAGTTCATCTCAAAGCTGTCCACTGTGGGTGACCCTGCTAGTGTTTTAAATACCCGTGGCATAGCCTCCATCATCGTAGCAACACACAGACCACCATAGTATAACAATCTGACAGAGCAGTGGTGACAGACAATATGTTCTCTCTCTTTTGATGTCTGATAAGGGATGTTCTAAAACCATGACATTGTGCCCGAGGGAAATGACATTATTCAAGAAGAATATTATTTTTAAAAAATAGTTCTGACATAACTCTTAGATACTTTGAAATAGAATGAAAGCAATGCTAGTTGTCCTGCAATTTTATAAAGATAGCATAGTACCATAGCTCTTGATATATAGGGTATATTTACTTGACAGATTGTGCTTTAACTTGAGAATTGCAAATACACTCTCCATTTAGCAAACGTTGTTGTTGTTGTTATGTGCCATCGAGTCAGACCTGACTCATAGCAACCCCAACTTGGGCTTCTGAGGTGGTATCACTACGGAAGTAGATTGTCCAACCTTCCTTCCGAGGAGTGGCTGGTGAGTTTGAACCGCCAGCCTTCTGGTTAGCAGTCAAGTGCCTTAGGCTCTACGCTACCAGAGCTGCCATTTAGCAAACTAATGAAATTGATTTGTGTGTTTTTGCCTGCTTTTTAAGGAACTCTATTTTTCTTTATTTTATTTCCTGATTGTTCATTGGAGGCCAAAGGAGAACTGAGAGAGCACTATACTATTTGTTGTTGGCAATGATATATGGCATAGGCTTATTAAACTTCAGACATCCAATTCACTATTGAAAACCTGTATCAGTTGCTAGAAATCAAAGTATTAGAAAATAATTTGGAAATTCTTTTTCTTAATCTGCAGTTGAAATTGGAATCTTTATCTACAAAAATAAAGAATGAAATTCTTTTGGAAGAAGAAAAGTCTACGGACTTTGTGTTTATACCACCAGAAGGAAAAGAAACAAAGGAAAGAATACTAACTGAACATCAGAAAGAAGTACTCAAAACAAAGAGGTTTGTTGGTCTTTTATTTTGAATTGAATGTTCTATATTCACACTTAGATTTCATGAAGCAAACTATAATTTTGCATTTAGCACTAAGGTATTATGTGTGCTAAAGATGTACCACCCATAATCATACTATATAAAGCCGTCTGATATTGTCCTGAACATTGCTAAATTGAATTCCTTTACTGGAGTTAAGGGAATGAGGAGAATGTAGGGAAGATATTTTCATCAAAAATCTGCAAAATAAATAGCTAAGTTGTGATTTTATCTGTTTTTTTTTTTTTAAATCTGTTTTTAAAAGGCATATAGAGGGTTAAATTGTAAGTCTGCTGTCTAATGTGGGAACAGTCACCAGATTTTGAAGTTTCCTCTATATAAAATCTTTTCCAGGGGTGATATTCCTGCCATGTATAATAATCTGGATGTTTCACAAGATACCTTATTTTCTCAGTATAGTCAGGAAGAGTCTGTGTAAGTATGGAAGCCATTGAACTTTGCATAACTGGTTTTCTGCTTTTTAGATAATTAAAAATCATATTCTAATTTATACAATTATTTATTTCAGAGAAATTCCTAATCTGACTGAAAAACCAAAGGAAGATTCCAAGATGAGGATTACGGTATATTAATATACTGGGGTTTTTTATAATCATCCTTCCACTATGGAGTTTGTTAAACTGTGAAAAGATTATTGGTCTTCATTTAATTACTTTTTAGATTTATGGTAAAATTTCTTGACTCCCACTAGCAGATTTTTACAGAATTGTGTGTGTGTGGTATATTTGTATGTGTATGTGCATGCATACACACGTACACAGATAAAATTATTTGGCTTTTATTGCATATTTCTAATTAAGGATACAAGTTAATGGTATGTCTCAGAATCTTTGGTGTATTTGCAATATGTGGAAGGTCATTGATTGCCTTTTGAATTAAAATTTCCCCAGAAAGTTGAATTTATTTTCTGGTTAATCTATATATACATTTCTTTGCAGAAGGAGGAAATGGAGAGTGACGTCATCATTCCTCAAGATGTCATGGAAAACTGTGGTATGGATGAGCATCTTGAAAAGGCTTCATTTTTAAATAAGGAATGTGGTTCTTTTGAGAGAACCAATCCAGAAATACTGAGCAATAATAATGATACCAGAAAAAAATCTTTAATTTCATCAGAGAAAACTTCAACGGAATGCATATCTAATACAGAAAACAATTTTGGTGTCAGTAGTAGCTCAGTTTCTAATGCCACTATTTCTGGAACTCCGCAGCCTACAAGCCGAAGGCAAACCTTTATTACCTTGGAAAAGTTTGATGGCTCAGAAAATAGGCCATTTAGCCCATCTCCCTTGAATAATATGTCCTCAACCATTTCACTGAAAAGTAACCAGGAAAGTGTAACTAAAGTAGATAATCCACCCAAAACAAAGAAAAGAGAAGTGACTATTTCAAAATCTGACTTCGAAAAAATAGTAAATGGAATTAAGAGGTCAAGTCGAAGATCAAGTAAAGCCGAACAAACAGGGAATAAAAGGTCTAAGTCCTTAATGAGATCTGAACAAGAGAAAAATAATCAGGAATATATTGATGGCATGGTAGCCTTAGAAAATAACCCACCTGCTTTACTTAATCAAGCAGACTGTGTGCCAGATAATCAGGCTTCTCTTTCCGAATCTACAATGGAATGTGAAGATACTAAACTTAAACCGACAGTAGAAAGTGCTGTGGTATTGGAAAATAGTATAGAAGAGAAAATTTCTGGTATTAATTTGGAATCCAAAGAAAATACACCCCCAGCAACAGTATCAGGAGATCAAATGGTAAATGAAGATAATCAGGTTCCAATAACTCCAAATCAGAAAACTCTTAGGCGATCTTTAAGACGACGTTCAGAAACAGCAGAATCTAACCCTGATAGCCAAGATAAGGAAAATAATCACCTAAAAAAGGAAAGGCGTAAAGAGGAAGAAAAGGTTCTTCAGAAGAGTCCATTGCATGTAAAAGATGACGTGTCAACAAAGCACCAGCTAATTTCTGAACAAGCTGTACAAGGAAATTTACATGAGAAGAGTTTTGGGGAAGCTAGTACTAACACTGAAGTGGACCAAAATAGAAGAAAGCCAGACCTTGAGAATCTTAAGTCTGAGGGAGATAGTGCCCAGGATATTGCAGATAAGTCCTCTGAGAAACCAATAAGGGGACGAACACGGTATCAAACAAGAAGAGCATCCCAGGGTTTGCTTTCCAGTATAGAAAATTCAGAATCTGACAGTTCTGAAGCAAAAGAAGAAGGTTCTAGAAAGAAGAGGTCTGGAAAATGGAAAAACACAAGCAGTGACAGTGTTGACAATGAAGATCAAGAAGAGAAAATGGTAAAACAGGACTGTATAAAAGTTGAAAATCAGACCCATGATAATAAAATAAGTTCTGAAGGTGATAAATCTAAGACTTGTGACAAAAAAGATGAAAGTAGTACTGTAGCTCTTCAAGATTCTGCAGTATCTTCAGACTTGTTAGAAGTTGATGAGGTACCAAATACATATGAGGGAAAGAGTAAAACTAACAGATGTACAGAATATTCCTTTACAAGTCCCTCTGCGCCAGAGTCAAATCTAAGGACTAGAAATGCCAACAAAAGGTTGCATAAGCGAGATTCTACAGAAAATAACAGTGTAGGAGAATCCTCAAAAACAGGGACATCAGACACTTCATTGCTTTCTGAAAAAACTCTCCAAATACTTGAATGCCAACACAAGAGAAGTAAGAGAGTGAGGAGATCAAAAGGTTGTGATTGCTGTGGAGAAAAATTACAGCCTCAGGAAAAGCCATCCACTGGGTTAAAGAACACAGAAAATTATGATATAAAGATCAGCGAAACAAAAAAGATAGATTTGCAGACACCTCTAACTGTATCAGAAACTGCTAGAGCAAATCTGTATTCAGAAGTAAAACATTTAGATGAGCATCAGAGTGTGAATTTTCATTTGGATCTTAAGGAGGAGAATGATTCTATTAATGATTCGTTAATTATAAAGGAAACTGACTTGAAGGCAAATAATTTTCAAGAATCTCCTCCTCCTGAAATAGATAAAGAAGAAACTTGCAGCATGGATTCCCGTGAAGCAGTATCTCTTGAAAGTCGGGATACAGCTAATAAAAATCTTGAAACAGTTGGTCTGTCTTTAGGTGATTCCAAAAATGTTTCACAGGAAAGTTCTCCATTAGAGATTAAAGAAAAAAATCAAGAAGCTACCCCAAAGAAGGAATCAGGTCAAGAGAATGTCATTAATGTTGAAGCAAATGTATATAAAGTAAAAGAATCCAATGTGGAGGAAATTGAATTTATGCAGTTGGATCTGGAAAGTAATAAATCTGAAGTTAGCAACACTGAACAAGAGAATGCCAAAACTGTTATTTCTGAAGAGGAGGGAACAGAAGAAAAGAATGAAGGAAATGTTGGATCTAAAGCAGATGCTGCTGAACAAAATGCTAAAGCAGCAACTAAGGAATTTAATTCAGAAATTGGTCATTCTGATACTATTACACCTGTGAAAGAGAGGGCTCAAGCTGAGATTTCTGGGGAACAAGATGGAGGAAGTGTTAAGTCTGATCCAGGATCATCTGAAGAAGTGAGTGTTGAAATGAGAAATTGTGAAGAAGCAGTAATAAGTGATGTGAATGCTGAAACTGATCATTTCAAAGAAATAGAGGCTGGAAATATGACTACCAAAACTTCTAAGCCTGAAGAAGCTGAAACAGAAAGATTGAATGCAGAAATTTACAACTCTGTTCCTGACCTACTTGAAATGAACACTGAAGAAGGAAGGACTGACTCTAGTAAGACTGACACAAATACTGAACTTAATAAATCTGATGAAACAGAATTGGATGACAATCATATGAGCGTGGACTGTGATAATGAAACTTTGGAGGAAGCTCACCATACTGTAGAGAAAGTGAAGGAATCACCACAGCCTGTAATATCTGAAACAGCTGTCTCTCAGCTGATAACAGAGGATAATTTATCTCCTCAAAAATTAAGGGAACTTGATCCTTTCTTTGTGTCAGCAAATGACAGTCCTAGTGGTGTGCAGACACGCTGTGTCTGGTCTCCTTTGGCTTCTCCATCTACCAGCATTTTAAAGAGAGGACAGAAAAGACCACAAGAAGATGAGATCCCATCTCCTGTTAACAAGGTAGGGGGAATGAAGCTGAATATTAAGGGTCTGTATTTTGTTGGAATGTTTGAGAAAAGGAGGCTGAGCCTCTTTAGATATTTTCTTGTTTTGTGACATTAAGCTAAGCATCTTTCTGCATATGTGCATATACCCCTTTGGGAAATAGTCAAATCTCTTTCATGACATTTTCTTTTCCTCATAGTATCATATGGGGAAACAGATTTATAAGTTCAGGTTATTCTGATTGCCAGTGATAAAGCAGGTTTAGTTAGCACTTCACTGTGTGCTGGGAAAATAGGCTGTCTGGTTCATGTAAATGTTCACGTAAACGCTTCCTCACTCCCAGACCTTGGCTGATTAAAAAGAAAAACCTGCCTAGGTTGTGCCTTCATTGATTTCTAGATGTAATTTTATTTATAGTCCCATCTCCTGCATTTAAACTACAGCTTCTTTAGATTAGGAAACATGGATTATTTATGTATCTGCTACACCTGGCACATAATTCGTTAAATGAATGAGTAACAGAATAAAAAAAGGAAAAGTTAAATGTGCTTGTGTAGCTCAACTGTGCTCTACTTAAAGTAGAACTGAGATCTTCTGGAAGGGTGTAATGTTTCCATTCCTTCATTAAATTTTGAAATTGAGCTTACCATTTAAAGATTGGTCCATTTGCGAAAAGTTGCTATCGGTTGAGTTTTGTTTAATTTTGTTAGCTTTAGTCTGGAACCATTTATTTTTTTAAAAAAATAAAAATAAGCATCTTAACTTTAATAAGCCATAAAAGTCCTTGAAAACTTACAAAGATAGAATGACTTGGGGATGATTTCTTCAGTATACTTGAAATTGATAAGTCAAGTTAACTGATCATTTTTTGTTTATAATAGCTCATTTAATATTTTTTTAGGCAACAAGAAAGTATATTGTAGTTTTCTATAGCAGAAATACAGAATCTACCCGCTCTTAGAGTCAAGACTAAACAAAAACAGATCCTAAACTTACTGCCATTGAACCAGTTCCAACTCCTAACAGCCGTGTAAGACAAAGTGGATCTGCCTCATAGGGTTTCTTGTTTTTGTTGCATGTATTTAATTTTTTTTTGTTTCATGACATTGACTGCAGTTCCCCACAGTGATTCATGTACATGTTCCCAGTCTGTCTTCCCACTTTCCGCCTGTAGCTACCTCTTCCCCGTGTCCTTCTTTCCTATGCATTTCTCTTCTCCTAAGATTGATCAGCCTAAGGAGTATATCTACCTGATGCAAATGTTCATCCTATGTGGCTGTCCATTGTTTGACTGGAAGCCACAGGAATGAGTTTAGTTCCAGATGTGAAGGGTAACTAATTAGAGGCCATAGTCTCAGAGGTCTCAACCAGGTGTCATCAGACCAGTAAACCTGGTTTTGGTTGGTTGGTTGGTTTGTTTTTCCTGATTCTGAGTTTTGTTCCAGATTGTTCTCCTACTCTGTCCAGGATCTCCTGCACTGATCCCTTCCTGAGTGGTTGACAGTGATAGCCAGGCACCATCTAGTTCTTCTGGTCTGATGGTCATCTAGGAGAAGGATCGCTGGGCTACTACTAGTCATTTGGACTAATTGTTTCCATGTGTTTTTGGTTTTCTTCATTCTTTGCTTTGGATGAGGACAGACCCTGTTGTTTCTAGATGGCCGCTAGCAAGCTTTTAAGACCCCAGTCACTACTCACCGAAATAGGATGGAGAATATGTTTTTGTGTACTATATTATGCCAGTTGAACTTGATGGTCCCCTGCGACCATGGTCCCAAGTCCACAGGTTCAACTACTCGTGCCCTCGGTGGTTGCCTGTGGCCAAGAAGTTACCATAACTTTGCCCCTTGTTAGTTCTATTATATATTTGGACATTGTTATGGCACATACAAATAGGCATGTAGAAATACCATCTGCCAACCTTACATATGATCATGGGTATGTTCTCTTTTGCCTAGACATGCCTGTCAGCCTATTTACCCATCTTTTTTCCCATAGATTAATGTTTGGTATCACTGATGACGCAGTATTGTATGTGTAAAAAAAGTTCCTTTGTTGTCTGTAACTCGTGTACCTCTCTGTGTCTTCCTCTTCCTCAGTGCCACCATGTTGATTGGTCACTTGGTACATTGCCCTTCCCTTTACCTAAATGAATACTTGTCTCTACCTATCTAGCAGTGTTCCTCCTATCCCTAGTAAGCAACAAAGTATTCTTTCCATACATAAACCTTCCCTTGACTTTTTACAATGGTGAGCTAATAAAATATTTGCCCTTCTGTGATTCTGAGCAAAATGTCCTCCAAGTTCATGCACATTATTCTGTGTTTTGAAGATTCAACATTCGTTAGTGTTGCATAGTATTCCACTGTATGTATGTACCATAGTTCGGTTATTCATTCTTCTGTTGATGGGCACTTAGGTTGTTTGCATCTCTTTGTTTTTGTGAATAGTGCTATGATGAACATGGATGTGCGTATTCCATTTGTGTCTTGGCTCTCAGTTCTTTAGGATATATATACCTAGTAATGGGATAGCTGGATCAAATGGTATTTCTGATTCCACCTTCTTAAGGAATTGCTGTACTGATACCCACAGTGGTTTTATCATTTGATAGTCCCACCAGCAGTATATGAGAGCACCCAATCTCCACATCCTTGCCAGCATTTGTTATTTTCTGTCTTGTTGAACTTTGCTATTAGTGCTGGGGCCAGATGGTATCTCGTTGTTAGATTTGCATTTCTTTAATAGCTAATGATCAGGAACAATTCTTCATGTGTTTGTTGGTGCCTGAATATCTTATTTGGTGAGGTGTCTATTCATGTCTTCTGCCCATTTTTTAATTGGATTGTCTGTCTGTTTATAGCTGTTGAGGTGTTGGAGTTTTTTATAAATTTTAGAGATAAATCCCTTGTCAGATATGTCATTGCAAATATTTTTTCCCCAGTTTGTAGGTTGTCTTTTAATTACTCTTTGGGAAGAGTCTTTAGAGGTGCATAAAAATTTGATTTTTAGAAGTTAATCATCCAGTTTATCTTCTGTTTGTGCATTTTGGGTTAAGCTTGACAGTCTATTTATGCCATAAATTTGCCCCTATTTTTTCCCTGAGGAACTTTATAGTTTTAGGTTTAACATTTAAGTCTTTGATCCATCTGGAGTTAGTTTTTGGTTTTGGTGTGAGATATGGAATCTGGTTTCATTTTTCTGCAAATGGATATCCAGTTTTGCCAGCACCAGTTGTGAAAGAGACTATCTCTTCCCCCATTTAATGGATTTTGGCCCTTTGTCAAATATCAGCTGGCCATAACTATACGGATCTATTTCTGGGTTCTTAATTCTCTTCCACTGGTCCATGTGGCTGTATAGTAGGTTTTGAGATCCAGGAGAGTGAGACCTCCTACTTTGTTCTTCAGTAGTGCTTTGCTTATCTGAGGTCTTTTCCTTTCCATATAAAGTTAAGTGATTGTTTTTCTGTATTCCTAAAAAATGTTGATGGGATCTGGATTGGGATTGCATTGAATGTATAGATTGCTTTGGGTGGAATTAACATTTTCACAATGTTCAGTCTTCTGTCCATGAGCATGATACGTTCTTCCATTTATGTAGATCTCTTATGGCTTCTTGAAGTAGTCTTTTGTAGTTTTCTTTGTACCTTCCTTGATTTCCAAGGTGTTCCTGGGAAGATTTATTCCCAAGTATTTTATCGTTTTGGTAGGTGTTGTAAATGGTATTGATTTCCTTATTTCCTTTTCAGAAATCTCTTTGTAGAGGAATCCAATTGATTTTTGGATGTTGATCTTATATCCCACCACTATGCTTAATCTCTCAATTAGTTCCAGTAGTTTTTTCAATGAGTCTCTTGGGTTTTCTATGTATAGGATTGTATCATCAGCAAATAGGGATAGTTTGACTTCTTCCTTACCAATTTGGATGCCTTTGATTACCCTTTCTTGTTTTATTGCCATGGCTAGGACTTGCAAAACAATGTTGAATGTTTTTGTTGTTGTTGCTATGTGCCATCAAGTCGGACCCAACTCATAGTGACCCCTCCTTGGTTTCCAAGGTGGTATCACCACAGAAGTAGATTGCCCAGCCTTCTGGTTAGCAGTCAGGTGCCTTAGGCACTATGCTACCAGAGCTCCTACAGTGTTGAATAGAGGTAGTGATAGAGGGCATCCTTGTCTAGTTCCTGTTTGCAAGGCGAATGGTTTCAGTCTCTCCATTGAGAATCATATTGGTTTTTGTTTTTGCATATATGCACTTTGTCATGTGGGGAATGTCCCTCCTGTTCCTATTTTGCTGAGAGTTTTGATGAGGAATGGGTGTTGAATTTTATCAAATGCCTTTTCTGCATCTATTGATACGATCATGTGGTTCTCTTTCTTTGTTTTATTTATGTGGTGGATGATGTTGATTGTTTTTCTAATGTTCAAGCATCCATGTATGTTGTTTTTATGTACCGTGGAGTCATCTCTTGACCCCTCCTTGGGTTTCCAAGGCAGTATCACTACAGAAATAGATTGCCCAATCTTCCTTCCAAGCAGTGGCTGGTGGGTTTGAACCGGCAGCCTTCTGGTTAGCAGTCAAGTGCCTTAAGCACTACGCCATCAGAGCTCCTGGTATTTTGCTGAAGACTTTTGCATCTGTATTCATGAAGGTATTAGTCTGTAGTTTTCCTTTTTAGTGATGCCTTTGCCTGGTTTTTATATCAAGATTATGCTTGCTTCATAAAATGAATTTGGGAGGATTCCATCTTTTACTGTGTTCTGAACTAGTTTGAGTAGGATTGGTGTCGGTTTCCTGAACATTTGGTAGAATTCTCCAGTGAAGCTGTCTGGGCTGTGACTTTTTTTTTCTGTTGTTAATTTTTTAATGACCTGTTCAATTTCTTCTTTTGTTATGGGTCTGTTCAAATTTTCCACCTCAGTCTGTGTTAGTTTAGGTCTAATAGGGTTTTCAAGGCTATAAATCTTTATGGAAGCAGACTGCCTCATCTTTCTTTCACAGAGTGGCTTGTGGGTTCACACTGCCAACCTTTTGGTTAGCAGCTGAATGTTTTAACCATTGTGCCACCAAAGTTCAAGACTAGGTGACCTATGAATGCATATTTAATGGTATATGGGTGCTTTATTATATACTTGTATGAAATTAGCTGAATGAGTGAACATATCATAGGAGTTTAAAGGAGACCAGAATAAGCAGGGCCACAAAGATAAAATGGCTCCCTAAATGCTGTCACTCTGCTGTTGTCCTCCAAAAGTTTAGAGCAGAGGTGAGATACACTAGAGGCCAGTTGTACTGTTTTTACCCTCTTTGTTCTTTCCAGGCAGTATAGTAAGCACCACAATTCTTAAAAATGAATTACACGGTTTTATCTGCCAGGTACAATTTTACAAAGTTTCTACTACTGTAACTTATTCCTAGTTTTTGATGCATAGGGTTAATCGTCTAAACCTACATTCTATTTTTAGGTAGAGTAATAAGAATTTATGGTGCCTCCCCCCCATTTAAAAAAAAAAAAACAACTTTTGTTTTCAGGTTCGCCGTGTATCCTTTGCAGATCCAATATACCAAGCAGGATTGGCAGATGACATTGATAGGCGATGCTCTATTGTTAGGTCCCATTCTTCAAATAGTTCTCCTGTAGTAAAAAGTATTAAAACTTCACCTACTGCACAATCTAAGGTAAGCCATAGGCTTTAAAATGTACATGCATGTATAGATACACATAACAATTGCATGTGAGTGATTCGTCTGAAAATATAACTACTTAAGAAACAAAATGTCTTTGATTTGGATTTATTGTCTTTTGTTTTCTACATGGTAAGCATACATAAGAAGTGGTGGTTAGAGGCAATGGTAATCTAGCAAGTAATAGATTAGATGGTAGTTTATTCTACTCTTTTACATTTTCTGAAATTTTAAAGAAATTATTACAGTCTTAAGTTGTGAGCATTAAGTTTTAAAAATTGTAGTTATCTAGGGTTCTGAGTGAGTTTTTTTTCTCTCCTTCTGTCTAGCGTAATACCACTTCAGCCAAAGGATTTCTGTCCCCAGGATCACGTAGCCCTAAATTTAAGAGCTCAAAGAAGTGTTTAGTAAGAAGTGCTTTAGTTTTCATGTAACTTTATATTTTCATGTTCAGTCAGGTGGTCTTTGTTTAACAAGTTTGCAAATTTATTCTAAGATTACAGAAATGGCCAAAGAATCTGTGCCATATCCAACAGAAAGTGTTTACCCAGCTTTGGTGAATTGTGGGGCACCGGTTGACATCATTTTACCTCAGATTACATCAAATATGTGGTAAGTGGTTATTTAGGCTGCTAGCTTATACTACAAAATGCCACTTATTTTTATTTTAAGAGAAATAACTTGGAAGGTTGGGGCTCTCAAATTTAGGACTGACTGACATGCACTCTTCCCTCACACATTTTCTTTTAGAAATAGGAGTGCACCAGGGGAGATAGGCCAGAGAGTACCATAAGAGAATCATTTATCATAATACAGTAAAAGCTAAGATTATTGTGTGTTCAGTGTACTATTTGCCAGGTACTGTGTTGAACCCTTGACATGTATTATCTTGTTAAATACTAATATAAATCCTATAAGGGATATAATTGTTTAGTTACATTTTATTAAATGAGAGAGCTCTGGTGGCATAGTGCCTAAGGCATTTGACTGCTAACCAGAAGACTGGTGGTTCAAACCCACCAGTCACTCCTTGGAAGGGAGGTTGGACAATCTGCTTCCATAGTGATACCGCCTCAGAAACCCAAGGAGGGGTCGCTATGAGTCAGATCTGACTTGACAACAGTGCATTTGGTTTGGTTTTTATTAAATGAAGTTTACAAAGGTCACTAAGGTCACACAGCTAATAAGTAATAATGTATGTGAACCATAAAGCTTTTCTATTGGTACACAAACAGCCTGCTTCTAAACCAAACCAAACCTACGGCCACTGTGTCAATTCCAACTCATAGTGACCCTGTAGGACAAAGTAGAACAGCCCGGTAGGGTTTCCAAAGCTGTAAATCTTTACAGAAGCAGACCTCTTCATCTTTCTCCCTCAAAGTGGCTGGTGAGTTTGCATTGCCAACTTGCTGGTTAGCAGTGAAATGCTCTAACCACTGTAGCACCAGACCTCCGTAGCCTTCCTCTATCAATCTATAGTCTTAACCCAAAACTATTGCTTTAGTCATATAACATTGCCACCTGTCAAGCATTGACAGTATAATTTGCACTAAGAATTGCAAACCAGTAAGCCTGTATACCTGTCAGGTTCAAATTTTACTTCAAATATAAATTTGCCTGTCCCAGGTGCAGGCTTATGTAGGCCTATATAAATGAATTCAGTTATGATGGAGCCTAAAAAGGGAAATTCAGTTAGATAGACCCTCACAAAAGAATGTAAATAAAAAACTATTATTGTATAATAACATTTTTCCTTTTCCCTCATTTTTTTTTTTTTTTTTAAGGGCAAGAGGCCTGGGACAACTCATTAGAGCCAAGAATATAAAAACAATTGGTGATTTGAGTACTCTTACAGCATCTGAAATAAAAACTCTTCCTATCCGTTCTCCGAAAGTGTCCAATGTAAAAAAGGCCCTCAGAATATATCATGAGCAGCAGGTAAAGATTACCAGTGACGGTATTAATTAGCAACCATGTATAAATAATTGCCCTAACAATACAGTTTACGGAAGTTTTATTTATAAACATCTTGCATTTTTGTAATCCCTTCTCCTGTTCCAAGTCAAGAGCAACTTACTTTAAAGGCCACTTTGTAATTTCTCAATGAAATTTATTTGATACCATTTTTATATAATCACCTCAGGTTTATTATAAATTATCTTTGTTCTCTTTCATTTCCATCAGTTGATGTTTGATTCTATGGCTTATTCCTAAAATCTTAATGTTTGAATCCAAACATTAACAGAACTCTTACAAATTTGTAGGTGACTATAGTTTTATTTTAATGTCCAGCACCTTTGTGACTTTTCTTTCTTGTTCTAACAGTTTTTTGCACGTGAACAACCTACTGATACTGATAAGCCTAAATTCTGCCCTATAAAAAGCATATTCAAAAATTTATGTATAATTTCATAAGGACTTACAGACTCTCCTGAAGCACATTCAGAGACCCTCTATGTACCCATTGACATTATGAAAACTTATGAATAAATGGAAAATAGGGTTTGTTCAGAATGAAAACCAGTGTTCTATGTTGGAATTTCTCAAGCTGGAGTATGCCAACTCCTGGAAGTCCTCTGCTGTGTTTTTGAAAGCTTTTAATCTTGTATTTTTATTTTATTTGTGCTTTCATAACAATGTTTATTAAACAATTACTCAAAAACATTCACTTTACAGTAATTTTCAGTTTTATGACCAAGAATTTAGTTTCTGAATTGTTTTTTCAGTCAGTGGTCTATGGACTCTGAGAAGATCTGTGAAAATCATCTGCCTTAGATTTCCCTTTCCCAAGTTCCTTAACAGAAATGTTTTTAGCTTTCATGTCTGTGTTTCCAGAGAAGTCCACAAAGAAATACTGAAAATTTGTGATAGTCTCCTTGAGAAAATATTTTTTAATGCTATTTTTGTTTGTTTTATAAATACAGTGTAGTTAAGGTTGGGCAATCCTACTTCCGTAGTGATACTGCCTCGGAAACCCAAGGAGGGGTCGCTATGAGTCGGGGCCGACTCGACGGCACACAACAACAACAACAACAAGTTACTTAAGTATATTAGCTAGGGAAATTATCCCATGATGGGCTGTGGAACATACTATGACAAACTCTTTTCCAGTGTTAGTATTATTAGCCATATTTTTAACTTTAACTTGTCCTTTCTTTCCAATTTTTATTGACGTAAATACATGATCAAGGTGAAGTCTCGTGGACTAGAAGAGATTCCAGTTTTTGATATTTCGGAAAAAACTTTAAACGGAATAGAAAATAAATCTCCCTCTACTGATGAAGAAAAACTTGCCTCAGGTATATTTTAGCAATGTGAGATAATTTTATTAGAAGCTCAGCTGACTTACCTAAAGAAAGAAAGACTTTTTATTGTGCTATGATGTTAATTTTAATATAATGCTTACTCAAGTATTTCATGTGGGGGGAGGAGAGACATTTCTTTTAACCTCAGGTGTGTTTAGTTACTGTTTTTCTCTTGTCACCTTCTACTTCATCCAGGTCTCAAGTAAGAATGTAAACTGTACACTATTTCAGTTATGCTATATTAGAAAAGTAGTTTGGTCATTCTTTAAGGGCAAAGAGCAAACTATGCTAGACTTTTTCAGTCCCCTGAGGAGCATGAGAGTACGTTAGATTGTGTTCTAAATTTGGAACCTAGGAACTTAAGTTAATTTTTCTTAAGTAATGTTTTATAATACAAGATGAGTATTTTTCCATAATGATTAACATGAATTCATACATGAAAATACCATAATCTCCAATAAAATTACATTATGATTAACGGCTTTAAAGGAAAATGTATTAACTTCAGTTTAATTTTTATCTATTCAATATGGATTTGATTATTCCTTTTTTCTTTTAGATTTGATTGATCCTGTTGCTTTAGAATCTCCACTATCTAAAAATCTCATGGCACAGATAAGTGCACTTGCTCTTCAACTGAATTCAGAAGATCTCCATAATTACTCAGGAAGCCAACTATTTGAAATGCATGAGAAACTTGGTAGTATGGCAGACTCTATAATAAAAAATCTACAGTCACGTTGGAGGTCAGCAGTCCATGAAGATTCTATTTAGTATTTTAAGGGAAAAGTGTAGTTCCTATAACATCACTGGTTTTGTATAAAACAAATTGTGAAGTACAGCACAATTTCAGAAAGAAGAAACTGAATGTTTGTAAAGTCAGTAACATTTCAAGCCCTGAGGGCAACTATTTACCCTCTATGTAAGTTCAGTTTTGTATGTTCGTTAATATAAAATCACCCCCCCATAAGATATTTTCTTGGCTGCTACACATAGTTTTTCAAGGAATTTAAATACCCTTCTAAGATTTGAAAACAAACTAGAAACAAAAGCCTACATCTTATTTTAGACTTTCTTATATTCATGCATATTCTGATGAAGCATTTATTACAAAATACTTTAAGTAAAATTTAAAACATTTGTTTGAATTTTTTGCTCAACTCATGAAAGATGTTCATACTTTATTTTTCTGTTTGTATTTGTTGTGCCTGAAGATTAAGAAAATTGTTCATGATAAAACACGTCAAATGAGATGTAAGAGTTGGAATGTTTTCCAGAGGTGTTAACTTTGTTTCACAACATTCAAGGAACATGCCAAAAGTCTTGGCTTTTTGGATTAAAATACTAATGCAAAAGATTTCATTCATTTGCATTAGCAAATATTTGTGCAGCAGCATTTGCCTGTGAAAATACACTTTTTAAGACATAGTGTTCATTTTAAAAGCATGACTATTTGTACATTATGTATAGAATACAGTGTTTTTAATTTATAAATTTCCGCCTTCGTTAATTGCATGAGTTTTCCTGCAGCTTCTTGTGAATACCTGGATTTTGTTTAAGAGAAACATATTTTGTATATACTAAATACTGAGATAACGGTATGGACATTATAGGTGATTTATGGGCTTGCTGTTATAGGATTCTGTATCTCCAAATAAAACAACAGATAATTTGGTACTTAGTTGATACTCTTAGTTAAAACCTATCATAGTTAAATCATGAGTTTATTATCTAAAGTAACCAGAATGAGTAGAATTACAGAAATAAGAAAATGGCTGTTAGTATCCCTACGTTTTCATTATGATTATTTAGAAGGAGGGTATCATCCACTAGAAAGAGTGCCTCAGTCCATTTCTTCCGAATGCCAGGTTTGTTGAATATTTTCATTGCACCCTGTACTATAAAAAGTCTAGAGTTTGCCCACCTTTTTCACCTATACCTAAAAGCAATTATTTGGAAGAAATTTGAAACTTCCTTTTCTGTATGTATGTTTTACTACATTTTAAAAAGTAGGGTATATGTAATTAAAACATTTGTAAATTTTACCAACTAGTATTAGGGCCTGGCTTCCCATATTTGTTTAATCTTTTTAACAGAATATTTCTCATTTGTTCTGTGACTAGAATGAGTAAGTGATCTCAGTTTCATAGTTTATTCAGAATCTCTCCCCTGTTGGGAAGCACGCATTCTTTAGCAAATCAGAGTGAGTTACCTTATTTGGTTGAATGGCAGTACCAGTGATGCCAAAGTTACAGGTGTAAATCCTTTTGTATAGTTAACACTCCTATATTCAGAAGGGACCACCATCCAGCCACTATAAAAGTCCTTATCATTTTTTATAATCATAAATCCATCATCTGAATGGCATTCTTACAACAGGGAGAGGATGGTTTTTAAAAGCAAATCTGGGACCACTGAGCCAAAAATTATACCTTGAAGAAGTGACCTATAGAAATAGGGTTTTTTTGTTTGTTTGTTTTGTTTTAAGCAGAATTATAATTGTGCTTTACATTGTTTATAATTTATTTCCCAAATTATATTTGACAGTAAATAGGTAGATGAGTTTTTAGTGGATAGGAGTGAATGAGAAGGGTTATGGATGTGTGTGTTTGGGGCAGGGTGGGGGATGAAGTGCTTTAATAACATGTTCATAGCCAGAATTAACAGGTTTCATGACTATATGTGTTGATGTTTGTGTGAACTAAAATTTGTTTGCCAGTGGGATGAAGTTCTTGGAGAGCTGAAGACAATAGCAGAAATGTGACCCAAATGAGCACCATTTACTTAAAAAACTGAATTTATGCACAGGTATTAACAAAAACATTGTGGTTCAGCAAGGTTATATTTTAAAATATTATTTGGGAGAGTGAACCAGTTTTCTAAATTTTCACCGTTGCTTTGTTCTTAAGTGTTTTTTTCTTAAGTGTATTTGACATAGTTTAAAAAAATTTTTGCCTTAAATTGTTCTGCCGATTATCTACCCTGAATGCTTCCTGAATAGAAAAAAACTATTAATATTCCTGATCCATCTCGAATGTAGTTTTGTTACACCATTAAAAGGGAATCAATTTTTAAAAAAATCTTAACAGGTAATAAAAAAGATGGCAAACACACACAAGAACACACAAATGTGATTTTTTTTAAATTATGCATTTTCAAAAAAATTAGTGGAATGCATAAGTACAGTATAATTTTTCATTTCTATGAAATGTATTAGGGATTTCATAGTGGATTTAAATTTCCAGTATTTCCGTGAGCCCCATTATTAAAAATGTACTGCCATTTGAACAAGTTTGAAAGCCATAGCTAAATGATGTGAAACTTTATTCTAATTTCAGATAGTACAAGAAGAATCAGATTAATAATGTTATGAGATAATACACTCCGGATTTAAATCCTGGACTTTAAAAACATAGTAGTTCCTAAAGTTGCCCATGGACAGCTTGGCCTTTTTCTCTGTACAGCTTGAAAGTAGTCAGGTATTCTGTTGCATGTCTATGAATCATAAAAATGTCAAGAAACTTGAACTATATCATGCCTAAAAATAAAAGTGACAGGGTCAGAAACAAAATAAGGGGTAAAATATTAGAGTGTGTATGGAATAAACAAGTAGAATAGTTAGATTTTTTTTAATGTAAAAGAATGAGAGTAATTACAGATAAGTACTAGTTAAAAACTAGCTTAGTTGAAACTTAAGAGGAAGTGTAAATGATTTTAAAGGGGTTGCATTTTCCCTTAAAGTCTTTTCTTCCAACTTTAACTTTGTCAATTAGTGAGAAACACCTAGGCTTCATCTTTGTACTCTTTGGAATTGATTTTCAGAGTTAAATTTGTCAGCTGGTCTAGGGGGCAAATAGCAACTTGTTGTCATTATTAAGGCTAACACTTTACTGTTGGCTTCCTACCACAACCCGTGTCCATTTTTCCCTAAGCTATTAGTCAAGTCTTATACTCTGTATACAAACATTAAAGTGAAGTTTGGACTTAACAGTGCTTCTCACAGTTGGGTTGTGCTTGGTAAAGCGCAGATTCTGATTCTGTAGGTGTTGGAAAGGACCTGCGTTTTTAACTGCCTCCAGGTCATACAGTTTCTGATGTTTGAGGATTAGGTGTTTAAGTAGGCCTAAAGCCTTCAAGCTATAAATTACGTTTGATAACCCAAGCCGATTAACTTCATAGAATTATTTCCACATAAGATAAAAGTTTATTTCGTAACTATTTCAACTGTATGAAGTAGGGTTACAGACTGGTTCTAAAGTCTTCAGGTTAAAATTCAGAATTCTGAAAGTTGTCGAGTGTCAAATTTAGCTTCTTTAGGAAATTTTTTAAAATACAGAAGATGGATTTATTTTTTTAAGTAAGCCAACTTGGAATTAAGTATTTCATTTATAAAGAACCTTGTTAAGCAAATTAGACTGAGTATATTTTCCCATTAGTATTTTTGAATTACCTTTTGTGTTGTTAACATAGATGTAAATTTTCATATTTTATAGATATATCTAGTATCTAAATTGATGTTGTCTTCTATTATGGGACTTCATTATTTTATTAAGAAACATTAAAAGTGGGTACTACCCTTTAAAAAGATGAATTTGGCAGTAAAGTTAGAGCCATAATAAGTAAGTCATATCTGACAGGTAATCCTCATCATTTTACTGAAGACTTGTCTGGTGACTTAACACATGATTACATGGTTGAAAATTCCTGTTTTCATTGTAAATGGAGGTTGAGAGAGAGAGTTGAATGACTTGATTCTCTGGAAATGAGTATTTCTTACATTCTGTTGAGGTGAGTGTTATATAAGAAGTGCCCTCATCCTAAGCATTTGAGAAAATGTAGTCAGAAGTTAAATAATGTTTGGGTTCTTTGTTTTTGGCTGATCAAAATTCATTGCTTTATCTGTACAACAAATTGGGCTTTGTGGTTTCTAATAGCTCAGTTAATGATCCATCTATTACTAGGTGCTCGGTTTTGTATTACTGCTTTTTGAAAATTTGAGTCATTTAGGTTTGATCTTCTAAAGACAGTTCATCAGCTATGAATTTAACAAAATGGAGAGTTTACTCAGTTCTTAGTATAGGAAATTAAATTTTACAGTGTGGTCATCTGAACCATTTTTTTCTTTATATACCCAGCCTTTTCCTCTCAAAAGTACAATTCAGACCAAACATAGAAGGTGCCAAGTGGTATATCGTTAGAATAAAAGATAAACTCTTCCCCCTACCTGACACTATAAAATCGAAGGCGATATCTCTAGTGGTTGATGTCACATGGAAGGAAAAAACCTACCCAAGCTTTTGTAATTTATAACAGAGGAAACAGTATCTTCAGGCCAAAGTGTACCAATTTATAATTCTGGATAAAAGTAAGCTTATTAGGTAGCAAGTTTATATGTTGATAACTGATGCACTGAGATTCGATAAAATGAAAGATTGAACTATTAATAAAGCAGTTAGACCATTTAGTATAGGAACAATCTATATAATTTGAAAATAACTGACAACCAGTGGTCCAGGAGTGTTCTTTGCATAGCACAGTACTGTAATTGATGCTCATAAATACCCTCAATAATTATTATAAATATACATTACTTAATACTCTGCCACTAATAGCGATATATTAATAATTTCTAACAAAAGAACTTACATTTCTTAAATGGGTAAACTACATAATAACAAGGTTACAAAGTTTAGGTGTGGAACAGAAAATGGAATATAATTGCTATTTTGATACATAATTTTGTAAGTAACAAGTGTTTAAAGGATATTTTTATA